TGTATCTTGTGCAAATGAAGCACAGACCTTCCTTCCCTGGACAGGCCAAATGGCATTCCAGAGCTATTGACTGAGGACAAAAGGGTTTTTTGCATAACCAGGTGCAAGTGAAGACTGGGGCAGAATTCCTGACTAGGGGAGGGGGAGGAATCGCTCAGTCGGAGGAGAAAGCAGGAGGGTTTGAGATAGCATGGCTGGCCTGGAGGAAGAGGAGGAGGAGGAGGAAGAAAAAGGTTTTGCAGGTTGTAGGTGGATTTCAATCAGGTCAAGAGAGGAAGGAAAGATGGGAGATGATGGAACAGAGGACAAGGATGAGATCAAAAACATAAAAGCTTAGTTAGGGCTATGAGAGGATAGGAGGAGAGGGGACAGAGAGGAGCCAAGCATGAGGGCAGAAAAGAAGCTGTGTAGAGAGAGAACTAAGAAGAATAAAGAATATGGACTAAGAGTTTCGTGTACTTAGATTCAATATTGTCAAAAATTACATTATCAGCTGGTTGTAGATTCTTCCTGGACCCTGGGAGCAGGCTATTGAGGGGCTGGACCCCTCATAGTCCACGATAATCAGAGAGACAAAGGAACAAGCCACAGCCACCACCTCTTACCTCACCAACTCCTCAGTCTGAAAAAGCCTGGAGTTCCTGTCTCCTCGCGCCTTATATACCTTTCTCTGTCCAGCCATTACTTCCTGGGATAAAAGGCATGTGTGCTTCCCAGTACTGGGATTAAAGGTGTGTGCCACCACTGCCTAGCTGTTTTCTCTCCTAGACTGAGTCTCATATAGTCCAGGGTGGCTTCGAACTCACAGAGATCCAGATGGATCTCTGCCTCCTGGATGCTAGGATTAAAGATGTGTGCCATCACTGCCTGGCCTCTATGTTTAATCTAGTGGCTTGTTCTGTTTTCTGATCTTCAGGCAAATTTTATCAGGGTACACAATATATCACCACAATAGATGGCAGAATTTGGTGGCCCAGCTGCAGGCAAGTCTGAGCAACTGTGTCAAAATGAACACGTTAGAAAGGAGCCCAAGATCCAGTCCAGTGGCAGGGGTTCTCTATGTAAGCACCCTGGCTGTCCTGAAACTCCCTCTGTAGATCAGGCTGGCCTTGAACTCACAGAGATCTGCCTACCTCTGCCTCCCAAGTGCCTGGTTTAAAGGTATGCACCATCACAACCCAGCTTTTTTTTTTTTTTTTTTTAACTTAAAAAAAAAAATGTGTTTTACATGTATTGGTGTTTTGCCTGCATTTATGTATGAGGGTGTCAGGTCCCCTGAAACTGGAGTTACAGTTGTGAGCTGCCATGTGGATGCTGGGAATTGAACCCAGGTCCTCTAGAAGAGCAGTTAGTGCTCTTAACTGCTGAGCCATCTCTCTAGCCCCTGGATTCAATCTCTAATGCAGAGAAAGGCAAATGAAAAAAATATTAAAGTTTTTTGTTGGCTCTGTAACATGATGGAATTCCAGGGCTGAACTTGACAAGCTCGGTTAAAGGCCAAAGTCAAGTTTGTATGAATGGTGATCCAGCACTCACACCGTTTCAGTCCCAGTGGCCTGGAGTTTGATGTGTGGTTGAAAGGGATGCTGGAAGGGAGGAGGCCGGGAGAGGTGGAGAGGTACCAGGAAGCAGGTGTATCTGACGTGAGCGACTGCAGCAGAAGAGGTTCATCTGTGTCGGTGCCCATAGACTTCCCTCACAAGGCAGGAACGTTCTGTCCATCTGTCTTGAGTGTTTACTGGGACTGGGGCAGGAGGGAATTTAAAAACTGCAGTAAAGTACAAATGACGTAAACATTACCTTAACTGTCCGCGTGCACTTCAGTGGCTTTAGGGGCTTTGAATTCATTAACGAACACTTCTTTCCTTACCCCTGAGCCCCGGTCTTGTTCGCGTAGCTGTGACTTGATTGCTTGCATAATTGGAGTCTTTTGACTTTTTGTGACTGGCTCACTTCACTTGTCCTGTCCTTACGGCTGACCCATGGGTTAGCATCTATAGGCCTCAGCGGTGGTTTGAATGAGAATGGTCCACAGAGGCTTAGATATCTGAATGCTTAGTCATCATGCAGCGGCACTGTGTGAGGATGGTCTTACCGGAGTAGGTGTGGTCTTCTTGGAGGAAGTGTTACTGGGGGTAGGGCTTTGAGGTTTCAAAAGCCCCTACCAAGCCGTTCTCTCTGCTTGCTGCCTGCAGATCAGGATGTAAATCTCTCAGCTACTGTTCCAGTTACATGCCTGCCGTGTGTGCTACCATGCTCCCTACCATGCCGATAATGGACTAATAAGCCTGTGAAACTGTAAACCAGCCCCCAATTAGATGCTTTATTTATCTTTTAACAGTTGGCTTGGTCATGGTGTCTTCACAGTAACAGAACACTAAGACAGCCTCCTTTCTTGAGGCTAATTTCTCATTGTATATTCATGCTGTGTTTAATTTACCTGCTCAGCTACTATGGAACACACGGGTCACATCTGTGTCAGCCCTGGGGATAACACCATGCACACAGGGATCCACGTCCCTTCTAGAAGACACTCCTGCTCTTTTGGCTACATACCAACTGAGACTGTTGGGGTGTATGCTGATTTGGTTTAAATTGTGGGGAAGGATCAGCTTGGATCTTTTTTTTTTTTTTGGTTTTTTTGAGACAGGGTTTCTCTGTGTAGCTTTGCGCCTTTCCTGGAACTCACTTGGTAGACCAGGCTGGCCTCGAACTCACAGAGATCCGCCTGGCTCTGTCTCCCCAGTGCTGGGATTAAAGGCGTGTGCCACCACCGCCTGGTGGGTTTTTCTTTCAAAGCAGCCTTGGATTGCTGGTTCTCATGTGTGTTGCCATGTCTGGCTTTTGTTTTTTTTAAAGATTTATTTTAAGTTAGGTGTATGTGCATGTGTAAGCAGATACCTGCAGAGGCCAGAAGGCACAGATCCCATGAGCACGAGTGCTGGGTCCCCTGGAAGAGCAGGAAGTGCTCTTGACCACTGAGCATCTCCCCACCTCCTCTCAAGGTTTTCGCTGTAGAGATCTTTTACCTTCTTGCCTCCCTCAAGATTTTTTTAAGCTATTGTGAGTGGGACTCTTTAACGGATTATTTTCTTGATATATAGAAGTTGTAATCTTTGTATGCTGTTTATCAGACCTGTTTTCAAATGCCTTTGGGGTTTTTTAATTATAAGATCTGGTCATTTGCAAATAGATAATTTGACTTATTTTCTATCCCTTTCTTTTTTTTTTAAGAACTTTTTTTTTTTAAAGATTTATTTATTATGTATACAGCATGTATAACTGCACACCAGAAGAGGGCGCCAGATCTCATTACAGATGGTTGTGAGCCACCATGTGGTTGCTGGGAATTGAACTCAGGTCCTCTGGAAGAACAGTCAGTGCTCTTAACCTCTGAGCCATCTCTCCAGCTCCCCCTTTATTTCTCTTAATGTTCCCTCTTGACCCTCTGATACAGGGTCTCACTATGTAGACCAGGATGACCTTGAACGCACAAGAGATCTTGCCTCTGCTTCCTGGGTGCTGGGATTAAAGGTGTGCACCAACAACCCCAGCTTTATCATACCCCCCCAACATTTATCTAATTTTGTTGATACATACTTCCATACTAGGCAATCTTGCTCTCGTGTGTGTGTGAGTGTGTGTGTGTGTGTGTATGTGTAACTACATGCACATGTGTGTAGGTGCCAAGGAGGTCAGAAGATGGCATTGAATCCCCCCCCCCAACTGCAGCTGCAGACAGCTGTGAGCCACCATGTGGGTGCTGGGAACCAAACCGAGGTCTCTCACAAGCACAGCCAGCGCTCTTTACCCCCGAGCATCTCTCAGCCCTGTGAACCATTCTTACACATCACTTCAGGTCACTTGCTAGAGGGCTGGAACTGGATTTTGTCCTGGTTTGACTTTTTAAAATCAGACTTGTCGGGGAAAGGTGGGCATAAAATGGCGTGTATGTGGAGGTCAGAGGACAACCTGCAGGAATTTGCTCTCATGTCTATCTGGGTCCCAGGATTCACACTCAGGACACAAGCTTTACCCACTGAGCCATCTCGACACTGAAAAGAACTTCATCTGAAGTCAACTTTCTTTCAGTGTCTTTGGACATAGAGAACAAGTTATCAAAGCTTGTTGGCAAATATTTCTTAAAACATCTTCTGACTTTTTTATTTATAGGACTCTGTGTGGCAGCTGTAAACCCAAGTGACCCACCCGCCCTTGGCTCCTGCAGGGCCCCGGGGTGGTGAGTCTGATATTGACTCTTCTACATCAGAGGTTAAAATGACACTGGGGGCCTGTCCTCCGTATCACAGGGCATTTAGCCATCTGGCTAGTTCCAACCCACCAGATTCACCATCACCTTTCCCGAAGCCATGAAGTCAAGAGTCCCATAGGGAGTAATCAGTCGAATGTGATTCCATTCCAACAGGATGATGCTTTGACGGGCCTGAGGAGACACTGTTGCTGGACACATGTCAGGGCTGAGGTGGCCAAGGTGCTTGCTGTCAAGCCTGAAGACCTGAGCTCATCCACAAGTCCAGGTAACATCTGTCCTCTGACATGTTCTGGTTGGAAATAAGCAACTTATTGTCACTCAGAGGCTGAGGCAGGAGGATTAGTTGGCCTACAAGTTTGAGGCTAAGCTGGTCTACACAGTAAGTTCCAGGCCAGCAAAAACTACACAGTGAGACCCACCTTAAAAAAATTACAAAAGATTAGAGATTACAATTACAGACTTTGAACTCTCTTTGGAACAGAGTCTTGAAGGCATGAGGCATGAACACACAATCCTCCTGCTACAGCCTCTCAGACTGGAAGAATATGTAGCCTTGCCCAGCTTACATTTATTATTATTCAACAAAACAAAAACCCCTTTAGAGGAAAAAAGATGATTTGTCTGCACCCACGGGCTGTCAATGGAGAGGGAATAATACTAGAAGGTTCTCTCTATTTAAGTTCTGTTGAATAAAATTTAATTAAAAGGAAAAATCCAAACGAGGAACTAAAAGAAAACATTTATTGAATCAAAATCAATACTTTCTTTTTAATATCTACAAGCCAACAGTGAGCTCACTTTATTCAAGAATGAACACAATGTACAAAAAAAGTATGCTTATATTATAAAAATACGTCCGTCTTCTCTTCCGGTGCCAAGCAGAAGTCACTGAACAGATCAAGGCAAGTCGCTCTACACCAACAGCTCTATTTAACCACAGGGAAGCTAATGGGCAAAGCTTCCCAGGCCCACTGGAGAAGCTGCGCCCAGCACACGTTGCTACCAGAATCCATGTGGTACAACCTGCTGTTTCTCTTTCTGACTAGTTGTTACCGTGTGTTTCAGAAAAGTATTAACAATATAATAAATTCTGGGTACAAAATCCTATTAGCTCCAATTTAAAAATGAGATGTGTTACTATGAAGGAACAAACGAGTTCCCAAGGTTTACAATCCCATGTAGGGAGGTGGGAAGTTTGCCTCCCTGCCTCCCTGCCAGCATCCTTCAGCCTCCATAAAGACTATCATGTACAAGGTTAGTTACTCTGTACATTTTTTCTTGACTTCACTGGAACCTTCCAGGGCACCAGGCCGGTGCACTGTGTACAGTGTCTCACTGTGCTGAGAAGAGGTCCGAGGCAGCTGCAGGACCATCACAGGCTCCTTTGGCTTATTAAGGACTGGCCTTGGAGCAGCAGAGTGATGGGGGAGGGACAATGGCTCCCTGTGCTGTCCCATCCATCAGTGCTGAAGATGCCAAGAAATCCCTGTCTGTCATACAGAAAGTTTGCACACAGCAGTGCCCTGGCAGGAACCTCACCCTGGCTAAGTGGAATGAAAAACTCAAGAGTGCAGTGTCCACATGGTGAATTAAAGACAATGGTGAATTCAACGTTTCTCCTTGACAGACTCTGTGCTCGGGATTGACACCTATGAACGGGAAGAATTGCAAAGTCAAAGGATCAGGTCATCCAGTGTTCCACCCTACTGGTAAATTAAGTTCAGAAGAAATGGAGGAGAAATGCTTTCAGCTTTGCCTGCATTGGCCTACTGGCTCTCCAGTCAGCATCTCAGGACAGGAGCAGTGCTGGACAGGGACAGATGGAGGCAGAAGGCAGAAATGATCACAGTTTCTCTAGACAAGGACCTAACTGCCTCCGGCACTGATTTCAGTCATGCTCATCCTCTGCACGAATGCTAAGCAATCACAGGCAGTTAGACAGTGACGTGGACCACAGGGCCCAGCTGGGAAGAGGAACAGAACGGGCCCTGAGCAAAGGCCTCTCGCTAACCACACAAAGTCTTCGCTGTCAGGGAATCAGCCGGGCAGGCAGCAGGTGCTGTTGGAAGCTGCCATGGCCTCCGTAGCAGTGGAACACCAGAAGGCCAAGGGCTCTGCGGTCAAAGCTGGTAGCAGAGGCTGAGTTTAAACAGAAAACAGAGACAGTACACAGAGTGAAGAGCTAACAGGATGAAGATGCCGAGAAGCTGGATGGGCTTCACCACGACACGTAGATACGGAACTATCTGCTCACAATCACAGGTCCTTACTCTCAAAATAAATACCCTGAACATTTACAGCCACGCGACTGCCCCTGGAACACAGGCTTTCTGTCACTGCTCTAATCAGACCAGACCCCGACTTTGATTATCTGTAAAGAGCATCCTCCAGGAGAGCAGCATCCTCAGGCCGCAGCAGCTCAGGCCGCCAGTGTCTGGCATCCCAAGGGGGTCCCCTCTGAGCAGCACCTTGAGTTTGCAGACACGAGCTCAAGTTTCCAACAGATGCAAAGGACTATTGTGCTTGTGGGTCTCACACCTTCAAAATATACATCCACGGTGGCAGTGACGACAGGTCTCTGCTCACCAGCAAAATCATAAGGCAGAGGGGCTGGAGGCGCAATGAAAGGTTTAAAAGGAAAAAATTACAAAACAGTGCTAGCAGTCACAAAAGACCATGCTAAGATCCAATCCATGTCGATTAAACATTGAAAATTCAGCTACGATCCAAAGAACTCTCATCAGAGTCCCAGGCATGCATGCCACTGACGGCAAGGCAGGTCGGACTGACGCTGCCTTCTTCGGAGCAGGAACGTCTTGCTGGAGATCACAGGGGTGAACAGGTTGCCGCCACACTTCTTTTTTATAATTAAAATAAAAGAAATCCAATCACAAGACAAAAATATTATAGAACTGTGGACAGAGAAAAGACAAAAATTCTGACCTACAAAACCAAAAGAAAAATTCAAATGATTACTTTTTGGATTTTTTTTGTTTTGTTTTTTGTTTTTCAAGACAGGGTTTCTCTGTGTAGCTTTGTGCCTTTCCTGGAACTCACTCTGTAGACCAGGCTGGCCTCGAACTCACAGAGATCTGCCTGCCTCTGCCTCCCAAGTGCTGGGATTAAAGGCGTGCGCCACCTTTTATACACAGTCTCTCTACATAGCCCTGGCTATCCTGGAACTCACTATGCTGGCCTTGAACTCACAGAAATCCTCCCACCTCTGGCTCCTAAACACTGGGATTAAAGGCGTGTGCAACCTGGCCAAAATTTAAAATTATTTTTGCCTTCCAAGGTAAGTCCTTCTCTTCAGTAGTATTTTCATTTTTCATCTGAAAAGTTTATCATGAAATATGTATAAACCACCTCACTACTCATGAGGCTGACACACACAGTGCGTCACTTCTACTTATGAGAACATGTGCATCCTGTCAGAGAACCCACAGGCTGAAACCTCCTCCCTACCACCCAGATGCTGCCTGTCCCTCAGCGTCTGCAGATGAGGAGACAGCTTGACATTTAAGCCTAAAGTGAAGCATGCACCCAGGCCACAAAGAAAGACCATCTGACTAAGCATTTTTTTAAATCTCAAGACTTAACTAAGGCTCCCCCAGCTCTGAGGTACTCACAGGTGATGGACCAGGGCTATCCTGCCTTTGTGTCCACGAGCTGCATCTGCATGCTGGCAGGCATGCCGCCTCCATAGCCTCCCTTGGACTGCATTTGGTTCTGAATGGAGCTGACCTAAAACAGACAGGGACAGAACAGAGGCTCAGCAGGACCAGGCGGTTCAGCAGAGTGATCTCCCCACCGTCTTCAGGACATGTGTGCAGGGAGAGCACAAACTCATTCTTAAACACCTTAACTGTTCCTGGCTGCGGTGCCCTGGTGAGGCCAGTGCTGCACAGTGTGTTGGTGCTTGGTTTTTTTGTTTCCGTGTTTGTTTTCCCCTAGGCACGGCCTCATGTAGCCCAAGCTGGCCTTGACCTTGTGGTCATACTGCCTCAGCCTCCCGAATGTGTCACCTCGTTCTAATGCACAATCGTAGTAGACTGATGAAGGTGGCTGAGATTCCAAGGACACACTCTAGGCCATGTTCACTTTCTAAAGTCACATTCTGATGGACTGTCACAAGATGTTGGTGCAAATGCACAAACCATCTTTGAGCTTGTCATCGTCATTTCAACCAAGCTCCTGTAAATTAGAAACATTTGGAAGCAGAGAGACAGTCAGGCTACAGTGCTGGAGGGAGGAACCCAAGCAGGGAGTTTGGAGGTGATGACTCAGCCCCACTGGTGGGGCCTGTGAAGGGTCACTTCCCAGAGCCGAGACTTGGGGGAAAGACAGGGGATCCTGGACCATGTTCATAAGTCTATTACTGAGTGCTACTAAGCACTTACTGGGACATAAAGGAAGCATGGGCCTTTTTTGCTGGTGATCCTAAGTCAATATTTTACGTTTAAAGAAAGTAATAGTGAGGCTTGCCTAAGTTATTTCTGGAGTAACAGGTTTAAATATGCTAGAAGAGAACATATGGGTGCTTAGGGACACACTTGCATCGCTCTGGACACTGCCTTTTGTGGAACATTTACCCCAATGGCACTGTACACACTACCACTGAATACCTGTATTCACAACTGACGGCTGCTTTAGGTACAGATATACAGCCTGTGCATTGCTAACCGGGGGGCCAGCTCCAGGTAGCACCAGGGTATGCAAAAAAATCTACGGAGGTGGCAAGGGCTAGACTTTTTCTGTCTATCTGGGAGGTAAATAAGTAACTTTCTTTTTTACTTCATCTTAAAAAATCCTCTGAAAATCTGTCTCCACACAGCTACATCTCTTTACATACATATATCTTTCTCCTTCACAGCCATATATAGTTACATCTCTTTTTTATATTGCTCCCTATCTCTCTTCTGTACACCTTTCTTCTCTCTGTTACATTCCTTCACACACTACTGCATCATTCACTCACTCTTTACTCTCACACTTCTCCTTCTGCACATTCAACTACATCTCCTTTTCAGCATACCACACTCACTCATCCACAGCCAAACTCTGGACAATTACATGTTACATCTGCAGGTCCAACCCACTCTCATAACACATGATAAGTCACACAGTTTCTCTCAGGCTAGGGGGGGTCACATTGACCGGCCAGTGAGGAACATTTGGCCATGCATGTAGCTCTTTCCCAGACAGAAAGTGACACTGAAATTCAGGACTTAACAGTAACAGTCAGCTGGACCTTGAATGGTAGGGTAGGTGCAGAAAGAGAATTATTGCAGGGGGTTATGTCTTACAAAGTTGCTTCAGGAATAAATACCTGGAACTTACGTTTGTGCATTCTCTGCAGGGGCAACCTGTTTTGAATTTGTTCCAAAGTCTAAGTTAGCCACCTTTGTGCCTGAGAATACTGTTACTTTCCTGTGTCAGTTATGAAAAATATTCTAGTATTATCAGAATTATACGGCTTGAGCAGAAATCATCTTCCTGATCGTCTACAGCTGTATGTGTGTCCAAAGATGGACTATTTTCACGAGACTAAACACACAGCAGTGGGAAGAATGCCCATAGCTGTTACTAGGGAAGAAATGAGGTGGCACATGAGGAAAATTACAGACAGAAACAACCAGTTGTCTACAGTCAGTGACTCCACGGCTTTGCCAGGTGGGTCAACCTACTGAATACTAGTTGTCACCTGCTGTGTACTCTCACTGCCTCCTGCACCTGTGTTTATGGCACTGGGCATGACCCCTGCATGCCCCTTTGTGGTGCCCTGTGACCTCAGCCCCATACCAGTCCACAGCCGCACGCAAACCGCTCTGCAGACGCTCCAGGTCCACCTGCTCAAGACGTGTGAACGCATAATGCCACACAAGTCTAAGAAGAAACAGGTGTGTTTCTTCAAGCAAAACAATTCTGCAGTGTCAAACCGAAGGGTCAGGATTTTCTATAAGTGACCTATCAGTGCTGAGCACAGTCACATGACTGCAGGTCTACAGGGTTCTAAAACTACTAAAGGCTCACAGAGTTCTTTCTGGCAAGAAGTTGAAATTTAAAAGTAAGCTTGCAGGTGTGGCAGTCCATGCCTGTAAACACGGCACCAACACACCAAAAGTTAAGTAAGTTAGAGCTGGGGGGATGGCTCAGGGGTTAAAAGCACTGACTGCTCTTCCAGAGGACCCAGGTTCAATTCCCAGCACCCACATGGCAGCTCATACCTGTCTAACTCCCGTTCCAGGGGTTCCGACACCCTCACACAGACATACATGCAAGTAAAACACCAATGCACACAAAATAAAAAAAAATTAAATATATAAATATACATATTTAAAGTAAGTCAACAAAGCAGCCTTGGGAAGGCCAGGCAGGCACCTTTACACAGGAGCCCGGTCCTAAGGACAGCTGCTCTAGTCTCAGAACACAGATGGGGTGGGAATGTCTCTCTGGATAAACAGCAATTCTACTCATGGTTCTGTCTTATTGTCACTATTTATACACAGGAAAACACATTGCCGATGGTTGTGAGCCACCACATAGTTGCTGGAAATTGAACTCAGGACCTACTGGAAGAACAGCCAGTGCTCTTAACCACTGAGTCATCTCTCTAGCCCTAAGCTAGTTAGTCTTAAGAGGTAGCTAAGTAATGTGCCAGCATCCACCAGCCCGAGGCAGTAGCCCAAGTTCAAGACCAGCTTGGCCTCCACCTTTAGAATCTGTCTCAAAAGAGATAAAATCTGAAGTGAAGATATTTATTGATGAGAAAGAGACTACCGAATATATGATAACTGTGCAACACCTGTTCTATGCCCAGCCTGTGACAACCACACCAACCAGAGAGGGCTCACAGCCCCTTGGCTGTTTTTACCCCGCTGTCCAGCCAACAGGGCAGCTGCTCCTCTCTGGAAATTATGACACTCAACAAGGTGGCCAAACACACAAGTCCTCCTACAGACTGAAAACAAGAGTGAGAAACGGCTCCCTTGCTTTCCAGTCACTGAGGGGACAAGCAGGTCTACGTGTCCCCGACACTCATTACCCACTCTGCCCAGCTCTGTTGATCCTGGCTGGGAAATCTGAACACAACTGTGGTAGACTGAAAGAAAATGGCCTCACAGGCCCACAGTGAGTGGCACTGTTTGGAAGTGTGTCACAGGGGTGGGCTCTGAGGTCCCAGATGCTCAGGCCTGGCCAGTGCTGTCTCAGTTTCTCTTCCTGCCGCCTGCAGATCCAGATGTAGAACTCTCAGCTCCCTCTCCAGCACCATGTCTGCCTGCTACCATGCTTCCCGCCATGATGGTGATGGACTGAACCTCTGAACTGTAAGTGAGCCCCAATTAAGTGGTTTCCTTCAGAAGTGCTGTCATGGCCATGGCGTCTCCTCACAGTAACAGAAACCCTAAGAAAGACAGCAACATCTAATTCTGCTTCTACAACAGTGTCAGGCCAGTGACACCTGGGACCACTAGGCATTGGGCTTTCTGAGGAACAAAAGGAGGCTGGCTCTGGAAGTGTCCTCTTTTGGTTTCCTTAGATGAACACACAGAATAGAAGAGTCCAGATGAGTGAACCTGAGGTCTACTCTGACATGTATTAAATCTCTCTGTATAATAAAAGACAGCAGACTCTCCTTCATTTCAGATCCTTTATAACCAAGTGCTTAATATCTGCTGCCCTGCCCTAAAGGGATGTGTGCAAACCCCAATTACCCGCTTAGCAGGAAAGAGCCTAACCACAGCAGCCAACATCTCCAGCATTTTAACATCTTCCTTTAGGGAAACACTGACATTTTATGAAGCAGATAGGGCTGGAGAGATGGCTCAGTGGTTAAGAGTGATGTAGTCCTTGCAGAGGACCCAAGTTCTGTTCCCAACACCCAACCACGTCAGGTAGTTCACCACCTCCTGTAACTCCAGCTCTAGGGGACCCCACTCCCTCCTACTGGCCTCTGCATACATATGACATATGCATATAAATACATAATAACTAAATCTTCAAAAGAGTATATGAAAAGCAGCTCACAACAAGAGGGTAAGTATTAATTAGTATCTGTTTATTTGGTTTTTTTGAGACAGGGTCTCTATGCAGCCCTGGCTGTCCTAGAATTCACCATGTCAACCAGGTTGGCCTCCAACTTAGAAATCCTCCTCCTGAGCACTGGGATTAAAGGCCTGGCTTAAACACTGATTTCAAAGCTCACCTGCCCCAGGTGGTGGTGGTGCACACCTTTAATCCCAGCACTTGGGAGGCAGAGGCAAGCGGATCTTTGTGAGTTCGAGGCCAGCCTGGTCTATAGAGCTCGAGTTCCAAGACAGGCTCCAAAGCTACACAAAGGAACCCTGTCTCGTAAAACAAACAAACAAACAAACAAAAAGCTCACCTGCGAGTCCCATGTTGGGAACCTAAGAATCAATCATTAACTAACCCATTCCAAATCCAAATCTAAGATTTATGTTCACACCGAGTGTGACTGTTCCTACATGAAGTGGTCTGACTTGTGCATGTAACCCATCACATTTCCCACGAACATTTAATAATCTGTATTGTATTTGCAGCATATTAATACAGTGCCAATAACGTACAAATAACTGCTAGATGATATCGCTTAGGGAGTGATGACAGGAAACGTCTGTGCAGACACAATGTTTTTTTTTTCAACCTGTGACTGGCACAATCTAGTTTAGAACTCACTTAGCATGATGTTATTAAAAGGGACACATACAACAAGTATTTAAAAAAAAATCATTTTAAAGGATTGAGTCTGTCAAGAAGGTTCCTCTGGGCTGTATCCACCCACACACTTACTGAGTTCATCCCACTGAACAGGTCTCCGGATCCCACATGAGCTGTGTGCACAAAGTTGGTTGGCTCTCCAATCATACTTCGGTCAATCCGTCGTCGCCTTTTCTAAAACATGAGAAATAATGTGTTGAGAAAATGGTCTTATTCTCCCACAACAGTTTGAAAATCCAATTGTCATACTTTTAATTTCCCTTTGAAACAATGAAACATCAAAAATCTAGAGGATGAGTAGTCAAGATAGCTTAACCAGTAAAAAAGCTTGCCATGCACATCCCAAAACCCATGCTCAGACTCCATGGTGGAAAGCGAACTAACTCCTAAAGGCTGCCCTTTGACCCCCACGATGCTGTGATGTATGCAGCCACACATTACAGCTTTATCTGAAGGAGCATCTGCAAACGTTTAGCATAGAGCAGGAAGTAATAAGCTAGCTGGTGACACAGACCCGCAACCCCAGCACTGAGGTGGCTGGGGGGCAAAGGGACCTTGGGTTTGAGGCTAGCCTGGGCTACATTATGAGACCTTTTCAAAAACAAACTAAAGAAATAATACCTTTTTTTCTTAAAGACATAGTCTCATGTGGCCCAGGTGGACCTTCAACTCCGGACCATCCTCCTCCTCTCTCCCAGATGCTGAGATTAAAGGCATTCACTGCCCTGACTAGTTGAAATAATAGATGTCTGAGGAAACATTTTATATGTCTGAAACATTATACACATAAACACTGAGCACTATAACACCATTAATATGTATGTTTATGTCAAAAATAACTTAGAAGACAAATGTAAAATTACCCTCATCATTAGCCAAGAACATGTATGATTTGACCACAGTGCTCTTGATTTTAAATACAACTTTCTAGCGCTTGATAACAGGTTGATTATATTTTTTTTCTGATCTCATACTTGGGTTGTATCCAACCACCTTGCAGCCTGGAATGAATCTTTTATTCAGCTGGCCTGCGGGGGAGGAGCAAGAGTTAGTATGGTCTGTTCGCTGCATTGTGACTGACGCCCTGTCCAAACGCTCCAAGGGTGGGGTTCACTTCCTAATTTTTGACAATCACACTTTAGTTTTGTGACAGGGTGTCATCCATATAGTCGGGCTTGTCTAGAACTCACCGTGGTCCTACCTCAGCCTCCTGAGTGCTGAGATTACAGTGCACCGCTTTAGGCTGGAGTGCCAGACGGTTTCCCAGAGAGCAGCCAAGCCGACACCCCGTTTCCCACCAGTACACCCACCCCGCATCAGGACTGCCCTTCCCTACTCATCTGAGGTCTGCACAGACCCCTTGGATATGACAGACACCAAGAGCAGCTACCATGCAGTTGGATCACTGTCCTCACAGCAGCCTGCTCACAGTAGGCTTTCCTTGTGATAGCACACTGCTCCGAAATCTGCAGCAAACTGAACAAACAGTCTTGATTTTATTGATGCAGAATAAGCCTAAAAGCAGCTGGGTACTTTTCTTTGGAAATATCTGACTCCCCGGTATGCAGAGACGGCATGTGCCTTCTCTGAGTTGGATAGGTTTATTCCTAGTAACTCTGTGACGACAGTGATTCTGAACCTTCTTGCTGTTCCCAGAGCATCTATGAATGCGTGCATGCTCGACTGCTTGCTCTGCTTGCTCTGTGTGTGTGTGTGTGTGTGTGTGTGTGTGTGTGTGTGAGAGAGAGAGAGAGAGAGAGAGAGAGAGAGAGAGAGAGAGAGAGAGAGGAGGGAGAGGGAGAAGAGAGAAGAGAGGAGAGGCAGACCTCAGAGTTTTTCATCCACTATTTACACGGTCTCTTCGTAACATTTTAGAGGAAAATAACTCTCAGGAGTTGACTTTTGAAGGCTGGAGTGTAAGCGCTTCAAACTCACAGGCAGCTCTGACTCACTTCTTCAGCAGAATGCACACAACTAGGACACTAAAACACACACATGCGCTACGTGGGTCCCATCAACCTGCGCCCCACGTGAAAGGCCAGAGGCTGACACAGTCTTCTTAGCTTTAAGTTTTTAAAAAATGTTTTCAAAATTTCTTCTTTGAGGGTCCTATATGTGTGTGTGGTACATTTTTATTGCACTCCCTCCAATTGCCATCTCAGTGCCCCACACTGCACCCCTTCCCCCCAAAAGCCTCTCTCACTCTTATTTTCAAGTCCTTTAATTAATGACCCACTGAATTTTTTTTTTGGGGGGGTGTGTTCAAGATAGGGTTTCTCTGTGTAGCCCAGGCTGTCCTGGAACTCTTGTAGACCAGGCTGTCCTCGAACTCACAGAGATCCGCCATCCTCTCTGCCTCCCGAGTGCTGGGATTAAAGGTGTGCACCACCACTGCCCGGCACACCACTGAATTTAGAGATGTTTACATGAGCATGGAGGTGGGAGGTTTTCTTTTAGACTTTTTTTTGTTGTTGTTCTATTTTATTCTTTGACAATTTCCTAAGTATATAAACGTAATTTATAGACATCACCCATTAACTCCCTCTCACTCTCTCTTAGATTTTTGGTTTTTGGAGACAGGGTCTCTTTACATAACATAGACTGGCTGTCCTGGAACTCACTCCCTAGACCAGGCTGGCCTCCTGAGCATTGGGATTAAAGGCGTGTACCACCAAGTCCAGTGTAACTTCATTTTTGAGACGGTCTCTCACTGGACCTGGAGCTCCCTGACTGGCTAAGTTGGCTGGTCTGCAAGCTTCAAGGATCTTCTCCATTCTTTCCCCTGGGTTTACAGATATGCATGCCTTTTTATGTGGGTGCTGGGAATCCAAACACAGATAATGAGGCTGGAGAGATGGCTCAGTGGTTAAAAGCACTGGCTGCTTTTGCAGAGGACCTGGGTTCTATTCCCAGCACCCACATGACAACTCACACCTGTCTGTAATTCCAGTTTCAGGGGGCTCCAACACCCTCTTCTGGCCTCCTCAGGAACCTGCACACACACAAGGTGCAATTCACACATGTAGACAAAACCCCACACACATAAAACAATTAACTTCCAAACCTAAGGTGCTCCTCCAAACAAACAGCAAGCGCTCCGAGGTCTGAGTTTCACTTAACAAGTGGAGGCCACTTGACCTACCAACTGCAGTTCCGGATCAGAGTTTTGTTGCTTTGAGTAGCAGCAACAGTAGAGTAATGATCCTTGTCACTATTATTGGGGGAGGCCTGTGCCCGGGCACACCTGTGGAGTCTGTTCTCTCCTCTACCTCTATATGAGTTCTGGGGATTGAACTTGGGTCACTGGGCCTGTATGGCAAGTACCTTGACTCACGAAGCCATCTTTCTCCCTGGCCCTTACAATGGTTTTTCAAGACCTCACTTAGATGTCACTGACACGTGTTTAAGCCTCTGTGTTTAGGCACTTGTAGCACCGGCCTCTAACACGGTGGGTCCACACTCTGACCTGTGTCGTCTTCTGTACTGTTTGAGACAGGGCTCACTATGTAGTCCTGGCTATCCTGGAACTCCCTATGTAGTCAGGGAAGAAATTAAACAGGGCCCTGAACTCAGAGATCCCCCTGCCTCTGCCTCTCAAATGCTTGGATTAAAAGTGTGGGTCACGACACCCAGGTCATTTGTGCTTCATTTCTCTAAATTTAACCTCCAGGCCTGTACTTGAGATTTAGATTAAGAAGTAACAGAATACAAAGAGAGTGGCCAGACCCTCTGTCTCCGCTCGGCCCACCACACTCATCTAACTTCCCTCCCCACTGTTACTGTTTGGGTCAATAAAGCCTAATTCTGTAAAAAAGCCTTAAGATCCAAAGCAAAAGAGGATATGGCAGTAGCCTCGTTCCCCTTTTCTGTTTGCTAATAACCATTAAGTTTGCCTTCAGAAGCTGTTCGTTCCGGTTCACCCATCTGTATGCACTCCAAAACATGGTCAATTTCCCAGCATCTTCAGTGAAACAAATTATTAGAGTTTCTGCCCCTAGTAATACCACCTAGGGCAGACAGAGGCCCCTAGGTTCCCAGCAAACACAGTCACAGGAGAGGAGGACAGCAGCTGTGTCCCCTGGTGCAGTGGACCTGTAGGACTGGGGCATCTCCCAAGTTTCCCAGGAGCCCCACTTGTAGGAGCAACTGCTTCTGTGAGCGACCAGCTAGACCGAGACCTGGCATTCTCGAGTCACTCCTTCCAGGCAGCCCTAGTTCTGCCATCCTGGCCTGAAGCCCCCCCTGGCCTCCCAATAACTTGCAATGCAGGAAGGGGTTAGACATGGCCCACACCCACACCAAGTCACTTCCTCCCAAGTGACTACGGGCTGGGGAAGGACAGTCCTGGGGAGGGTGGCACACACATTCCCAAGGACCACTCTCACCCAGAAAAGCCGAGGTGGGCAGCCTCCAGCCCACTTCTTCACAAGGTACAAGACTGTCCCCACACAGTCCTCAGACGTGATGGTGGAGGAGGAGATGAAAAAAAAAAGGGAAGGGTGGAGGAACAACCTTCTCATCTCTGAGCCCCCCAGAGTCCACACGGTAGCACAGCCATCCTCTTAACAGGCCCTTCTCCCTGTCGCCACTGATCTACGTCGTCACGTCTGTGGGCGTTGTCCTGTAGTTCATGGAAAAGGACCCCTCAGCGTCTTTCCCTCACAGTGAGTTACTCTGGGAGTAGTGACTGTTACAGACCATACCAAGCTGCTCCTTCTTAATCACAAACTCTGAGACAGGTTATACTGCAACAAACCAAAATAAATCTGAATTCCTGACTGTCGTCGTATCAGTCGGCTGACTTTCCCCACTGTCCCACCAATACAGTTCAAGTTGCACAGAGTGGATAAAGAAATACGTTTTTATAGTTGTACAGAGCTCATGAAAGCAAGGCTCACATGGTGGCAAGACCTTCTGTTTACTCCAAATTACTCCCTCACTGACGCTCTAACTATGATGTAATGATGCAGAAATTCCATGGAAAGAGACTTTCCTAATCACCTCTACTCTAGCACAAGTGTTCACATGTGTGCCTCTAACCCCCGACCTTCCGCAGAATGAAAAGCATTTTAAGTACGGCAGGGATTATTTGGCTGGCTGGCTGCTAATGAAGTGCTCTGTAAGAGCGAAGTGTTCCAGGGGACACAGGGACCCCACTCAAGTCCACACAGTGG